CAGAGATGTACAGCGACGTGAGCGCTTAGCTTCCCTACAGAGTTGAAGAGCAAAAGGCTTACCAGGGAACATTGGAAGATATTGTATTATATCGGGATTGCATACTAGGCCCCAGTAAGACACAGTTTGCGGCTTACTGATCAAGATTTGGATTTTAGAGTTTAGGGATCAGTGTTTGTGGCGCTCCGGGCTTGGGGATTGGACTTGAGGGATCATGAGCTTAGGGTTGAGGCTGAGCCGATTAAGGAACTGCCTAAGGGGTCCCTGGTAGATCTCCAGATGGGAAAGGGAAGGGAAGCGATCGAATGCATCTCCAGATGTAGCCTCGAACTTCGTGCATTGAGGTTACGGTTACGGGCCCCTAGTAGTGGCCCTTAGTCCTGGAGTCCTCATATGCTTACTAGATACCCGCAAAACTCCTACAAGCCCAATGGGTAGGAGCTTAGAATCCGTGGAATCGCAACAGACCCCACTTCAAACTGCCTTCAGACGACTGCATATCTGGTATTCTCTGGTGCTTTCTTCACCTTGATACGGCTTAAGGGGGAGTCAGGGAGTGAAATAGGGATTCTTGTAGGGGTATATATTAATATGGGGAGTACTTAGGGATTATCAGAAGAATCCACTCCCCCACTCTCCCTTAAGCACCAGTCAGTCTAAGCATGGTGACTACAGGTTGCTATCGTTGCAATTCTGGGTAATCTGCGTCTCCATGTATGCCGACCTCAAAATCTTTGGGGGATCTACGAATTAAAGCAGCATAGGTTCACAAAAAAAGTTGAGGGATTCTAGGGACCCTTGAGGGTACATGTAGGGTATAGAGCAGGTATTTGGGTCTAAACCCTACACCCTAAACCCTGAACCCCAAACCCTAAACCCATATTAGGATCCCAGGATTAGGGTAGGGGCCGGAGAGGAGCTGGGCGCAGAATTTGCCAACCGAGTCTGCTCCGACCGGGGTCAGATTTCAATCCATGCCGATGGGGGTGGGTCCAGTTCATGGTGACATGATAGGAATATGGGAGTTTCCCAGAATTAGGGGTAATTTTTGGGGGGTCCCCATATTAAGGATTATAGTATCTTGGGGGTTATGGGAACTACCATATAAGCGGACCCTAATATAATCACCATTATCCCTTACAGACCCTAAACTCTAATATAATCACCATTATACCATTCTCGTCACTATTACCGGGTGGGTCGGTCTAGTGGGAGAGCTCTGTGGCTTGGGGCTTCTGGGATCTACTGTAGAAACCTAGTTTATTCCTAACTTCCTTGCATAATCATGACGACATGGGGTACCTCTAGATAGAAAGCTCCCCAAGCAGTACACAAGCCTGGGATATCTTTGGCAGACCTCCGCCCACTGGGAGTATCTAGGGTCTAGGGTACAGCAAGTTCAGGCTAACCCCACGGAGCCCTTCCCCTCAGGTTGCTGCTAGTTTCCATACAGAGGGGGACCCCAATATAGACCCAAAAATAAATTAAACCTCAGTATTATAGGAACCCCCCAAGACATACCCCCTAATTTTGGTAAAAGGACGTAAAGTTGATGGATCCGGGAGTCCAGGGTATGGACAGAACTGCAACAAGCATCATTTGTTCTTCGGGATGGTGCTTTCAGGAATGTACGAATCCCAATCCTAAGCCTGAAAATTGACATCAAAACCTACATGAGCTATAGTCTGAGCGCCTAGAAGGGGGATTACATAAGGGATCATAAAGGGGACTACTATAGGGGTTATTAAGGGGGATACTAGGAGTTTGGACTCTCGCAGGGGCTTCTATCAAAATTACGGTCCCTTTTTGGCGACGACCCGTTTGGACTGGTTTTCAACATGTCACGAAGCGATTCCCTAAAATCAAATAATGCAGGGCCCTGATGAATAAACCCCTCCCCTTAATAGGGATTACTATAGGGATCATAATGTTAAAAGGACGGGGTCCATTAATCATGGGTTTACATTATGTTAGATCTCCCGGATGGTATGGAAATGTCCTCCACCGACAAAGAAAGCGAGATGTGAGCGCTGACCCGTGAGAGTTTCAAAAAAAGCCTGGTTTGAGGGATCCCAGATGCAAAGCTTAGCCCAAAGGAAGTTTCCAAAAGCAGGGGGCTTAAACACCACAGTTCCTCTCCAAATTCCAATATAGGGACCCTCAGCATGAAAAATAGAGGTCAAGCAAAAGCGACATGGTTGTCAGGATTGTGCTCCCTTGTTGGGACTCCGGTTGTAGCACGGTCCCTACTATTGAGGTACACCAAAGGATACCACAATTTCAAAGACTTCCCGTCCGGTGAACATGTTTCAGGCTTCCTGCTCACACGCGGCCTTGTCTACTTGTACCTTGATGTTTCTGAGAATAGGGTGTGTTTCCACATTCCCAAACTCCGACAGGCATACAGTCTTTCCTGTAAGGCAGCCCAGAGGGATCGCGGAAAGAGCGCTTGAGACCTAAACTTCTTGTGGTACCTCTCAAAGCTCCGCTTGCAAAAAGCGAGCGTCCGATTATGTCAGGCAAGAACGCACCCCAAAGCAAAGGCCGTGTTCCATAGCCCAAATGCACCTTGAAAAGGCGATTCAGGATAGCTTACATCTTTCACCCTTTGCTTCTTTGGTACCTATCTGTGATGGCACAATATTCATTCACCGTCCGTTTCTTTTTAGGGAAGTCGGAAGGGAGCAGGGGAAGCTCGAGTAGCTGTAAAGACCTATCGGGGGCAGGCACTAGCAGTCTGCGATACCTACCACGATTGGTAATTTCGATATATAGGTACACCCCAGGGCCCAAGATAATCCCAACACATTTTTATAATCCTTAGACGGAGACCCCCAAAAAGGAACCCTGATTTTAGAAAAAAACATTGTTCAGGGAAGTGGATTCCGGAGGGCTGGATGACATGTTGCTGCTTCTCCTCGAAGCGGTTTTGGCTCAAAAGGACGCCAGAGATAAGATCCATGGAGGTCATGATGCATGTTGATTTTATAGTCCATTACGCAGGAGCAAACACACGCGACAAGCCTATCACCATGTCTGCAACCATCATGGCTAGCCAGGTTGTTCACCAGACCCGGTAAAATCATCATCTTTTAACCGTAGGAATCTACGAGCGCGAAAACTTTCCACAGGCAGGGTATCAGCGATGTGGTGCATACCTCCTCAGAATGAAACCGACTTTCATGGGGTTTGGGGTTTGGGGTTTGGGGACTTTTTGAGGCTTAGGACTCTAGGGTTGTAAGATGTAGGTGTTTGTAGTCGTCCATTTTGGGCAATCTTCTTTACCTCTTGCCTTCATGGGTCTCCCCAGACATCCAGTGTTGCCTGCCTCAAAATGTACCCTAAACCTTGACGACAAGTTTCCCTGCTTTCTATCCCTCAGTTTCCTGCCAGCCATATGAGATTGGCTAAAATATCCCCACATTACTCCAGTGCCCTAAAACTCAAGTGAAGAACCAGCAAGGAAAAGGCAAGGGGAAGAGGTCGAACTCACGGTATTCATCATGTAGCCATTCCTGAGGGGACGGTGGATCCAAGGGAGTAGGGGGTACCATCGGGGATTGCTGGATTTCTCTTAAGGAACTGAAATCCCTATTATGTGAACTCAATTGATTTAATTTTCCTTAACGGCAACCCAGATTAAGGGAGTGTTGGGGATGGCTAGCAACTTGCCCCCTCCAGGTTGAACCACTCCAAACCCTTAAACCCTAAATACCTTAAAGCCTAAACCCTAAACCATGAATACCTTAAAACCTAAGCCTAAACCCTAAATACCTCAAAACCTAAACCTCAAACCCTACACCCTTAAGGATCTTGCAACACCATTGCAAGCACGTGATGCGCTAAAATCTCCTCGACGCCTTCGAAAACTTACAGCGGATACTACTGGGGGATATCGGGATATTTTGGTTTAGGGATATAGGGACATCAAGGGTTTAAGGATGTAGGGATATAAACCCGATGATGGAAAATCAATTTGGAAGGAAATGGAAAATGAAATTGAAACAGTGATTATATTGGGGTTTGTAGGTTGGATACTAAAAATCCCGCGTGATCCTAAAACCCTAAACCCGGGAATTATGGTACAATAGATACTGAGGTCATTCAGGATTTTCCCGAATGCGTAGCAGAAGGGTTCCCGCTTTAAAGTTGGGGTCCAGGGGTCCAGGAGGCGACGCGAGGTCGTTGAGTTGTGTCCGCAAAGCGTTCGCAAA